GGCCGATGCAACGATGCCAAACACCAACGCTCACTATGTATTAAAGGAGGCTATGGTAGAGGGATTTTACACTTCTGACAAGTACATTAAAAGTTATCTTACAACAAAGATACTCATATTTGTGTGCCATCTACGTGGGCTTCACACAAATATGCCATTGCTTTTTCACATTTCTGAAAGTCTTGTGATTGATTGGTGAGATTTGAACCCATCCTCTTGAACAGAAATTCCCACACTTTGACATTTGGACCAGCTGTGAGACCACACTGGTCCAACCAACAACACCAGTCAACTACACACTGACCTCATAGCCTGATACAGCTAAATGGAAACTTATGAGTACTGTAGGTAGTAGTTCCTTTTACAGATTATTTAATTTGGGATGTATAGTACTTTTGAGCCATTTAAACAAATAGTATGTTACAAATGGATATACCTTTTAGCAACCCATAAAATAATGTATCCGGATATTTAAGGAGAATATCTGGTTATTTTAGAAAATCAATTACAACGGATTAATTTGACAAGATCTATTTGACCAGATCTATTTCACACTAGAATAAGTTTATTGAAATAACCATACAGGGCAATACACCATTACACCACATATTCCTACAACATCAGCAGTGAGCTCTGAATACTTGCCTCGGGAAGTGGGTTCAGCTCCTTGGCCAGATGTATTCCACCGATCGGAATGATGTTGGGGGTGTACGGCTGCGCATAGTGAACATAAGGATGTGCATTTGAAAAAGTCAAGGCCAACCAGTTCTGCATCAATTCTGACAAGGGAGGTAGCGAAGAGTCGTTAAACAACTCCCTCATATACTGATCTTGCGAGGGAATAAAATAGAAGTAGTATTTGAACAGCGTACTCAAAATTGAGTAAGCATTGAGTGTCCTCTCATAGAAGGACATGTGATTTGAGGATGGAAAAGCGACATCTGGAATGTAAGCAAGGTTGAGAGAATTCCCACTAGCTCTGTTTACAAGACTGAAAGCTCCGAATGGTTGAAGATTGATTATGGGAGCTTTGAACTTGTGACCAAGGGAAAAAAGTGATTCTTGAGCAAATAATGCCTCTAAAAATATTAAATCAAACTTTTCATTTGATTTAAGAAGCTGCTGAAAGTCTTTGTTATCTTTTAGATTCTTCATGAACGCGCTAGATCTTGACCACAAAAGTGAGGTAGATCCCACTGGACTCGTGTTTAACATCATCTCCAGCGTTTCTTTGGTCACTGAAATGTAGAATAATACATGATATAAACAGTAGCTATTAATTAGAAGTTTCAAATTGAGAAGAATAATATTACTGACTTTGAACAATGTAAGTAGATTTGTAAAATCTCTAAATTTTATAAGCTTATCTTTGGTTAAAACCAGAGGACAAGCAATTGTTTCCTCTTTAAATTTCTCCTCTATGGTCTCATCCTAGTCATTGTGATGTGGCTAAGGTATAAAGCAAGAATTTTTTCAATGGTATTCAAAAAGTACCTATTATTTGAATTAAGTTCACATTACGTACCAAAATAGGCCCATTGTTACTGAATTCCGTTATTTAAAATACGCACTTGTTTTATCAGCTGGTAGGAGTTTGTCCATGTGAATAACAGTTAAGTTTGCCACCTCCTGGTCGGCTGGTAGACCGCTGTAGCTGACGACCTGATGTCCTGCCTGGGCCAGTGTCCTCAGCACAGCGTTAAACAGGATGTGATGACTCTTGGCAGGGATTGGCAGGACAGCAAGGATCCTGGCTGACATGGCAGGACCTCCGTAAGACATCAGGAGCAGCAGTAACACAATGTTCATGGTAGATCCAAGTATCAAGTAAGATCTACAGACATGGTTATAATATCCAATTAGGAGAAGTTCATAAAATCTATAAATCTATGTAAATAACAGGGAAATTTTTAGTTGACATATATTGCACTCAAAGCTATGTTCTAATTGTAGCACAAATAGATTAAAAAACAGCTGTAGTGAAACCCAAGGAGAATAAATCAAAATTAGAGTACCGGTACCCAAACACAAACACTTGAGAAGTTAAATCTGTTTTACAAATCAGCTTGATCTAAAACATATATAAAACAATAATCTTGAAAAAAAGGAAAAGAATCATTTCAAAACGGATGGTATAGATAAACATGTTGAAACATATGGTATATGAAAAACAAATTGCAAAAAATTTTAATTTGGTTTTAAATAGGTTCTAGGTATTTTTTTTGTATTTTTAAAGTCTCAAAATTCACGACCATGACGTGTCCCTAGGGTACATTTTCCAACTTTCACGCTGTTTTTAGACTAATTAATCATGCCGAAATAGTTTGTTGTGCCAGTCGTTTTGTGTTGAAAGAAGTAATTACAAGATTAATAAAGGTAAAGTTTGTGTTTTTTGTAATTTTGGTGTCCATGACCGTACATAGTCATTTGATGGAAGTAGACGTGGTGTTAATTTTTGTTTATATGATATTTTAATTACTACATTAACCTAAAGTCCACTTTGTATCCTCGAACATGAGGTGCAGGGCTACGGCCAGGACACAGCCAAATAACTCGTAATGTCACGACCAAAGTTTCACGACCATCGCGGGTTTTTTCACGACCAATCCAGTCTTATGGATGTATACTGTGTTTGGTCGTGACAATAACTCAAGTATCATTGTAAATTGAACAGTTTAGTCCAATTGAACAGCAGTCCATATACAGTTTAGTCCATAACTCACAGTATAATTGAAGGATTGTTTAGAATGATTTAGATTACCGGTATTCCAGACAATTCACGACCATACCGCTTGTCCCTGACCATCACGTTTATGATTTCTGTCATAAAAATTTCAAAAATTAAAATATCATATTTTAATGTTTTAATACACAAAAGAAGCACACGTCTATAAAAACATAACAATATTTCCGGTCTCAGGTAAGTTTTTTCGGAGATATACAAACGATTTTATTGGCTTTTTTCAATTTTTTTTATTTTTCTCTAGAAAGACCAAATATACCAAAAGCTTAGTGAGCAGTTTATTGTATAATGGCCATAAAAGTAAATTAATTTGTAGCAAAACATAGTTAAAAAAATATTAACTATTTTTAAAATTTAGTTTTATGTCCGTGATGGTCGTTACAAAATGTTGTGTTTTTCCATCAAAGATGCTCTATTAATAAAAAATCACCAAAGATATTGCGTTACCATGGACATTTGATGAAACTTCAAATGTCAATGAAATAAAAAAAAGTTTCAAAAAACGGAACAAAAAATTTTAAAAGTGCTTTTCCTGAAAACGTATGTTTTAAATTTTCACTCGTATAAGATACAGATCTTCCTGATCAATTTCTCCACTCAATAAGATCATTATTTTGTACATCAACCAATACAATACCCCATGAGTGATGTTTCACCACATGAGATATCTTATTATGGAGTTTCAGTTCCGAGCTGGCTGTCTCAACCCAGTGCTGTTGCGAAAGCACAACCGGTAGGCTACAGCCAGTATGACTCACTTGTAAAAGATGTCAAACTTATCCAAGTAAATCCAGGTTATGTTCATGTAAAACTTCCAAATAGACAGGAAAAGACAGTGTCTATAAGAGACCTGTACCATCATCCTCAGAAATAGACTAACAAACCCTGATAGACTAATCATAATTAACAATAATCCAAGAGAGGGGAAATGAACCATTCAAGAACCGGAGTTTTAGTGTCATCAAGAGCTATGGAAAAATTATTTTTCATCACTCTGTAACGAAATTAACTATTTTCGATAACAGCTGACATCAATGAAAGTAGTTGTTTCCCAAGCTCTAATTTAGGGCGAGGGAAAATCTATCAGCTGGATTTTCCCTCGCTCTAAATTTACTTTCCCTCGCTCTCAATTAGTTCTCCATTTATTCACTACACACGCTAGTGTTTTGTTACGGTTTAATTTAATGATTTGAATCAGCTGTATGTATTGTTCAAAGTTGTTTCATTCTTTTATTTTGATGTTTGGACTATTGGAGAAATATATGAAGGATTCCTTTAGAATATTTTATTTAATCTTATTCTTATGTTTAAAGAAATTGTTTGGGAAATAATATAGTTGTATTATTACTGAGGTCTGCTATTCTGTGTTTATGCATTTTTGCGTCGTTATGAAAAGTATCGTTCATAACTCGTACCGAAAGTTATTATCCGGCACTTGCTCCATTATTCCCGTCCTCGGCTTCGCCTCTTACGTGAAAATAGCTCTCACCTACTCGGCTTCGCCTCGCACGTGAGATTGGGGTTCCTTGTGTTCAGCTTCGCCTCACACAAAAACTTGAGCGCGCGCCGGAAAATGCCACTTTCGGTCCTAGTAATGAAATATACCATTTCACTAACATCATATTTTCAACAGCTGTCTATTGTTTACTACTGACTTTCAGTAGTACAGTAGTAGTGAAATACTTTTGCTTATTTTTATAGTTACTTTTCAGTAGTAAACAATAGACAGCTGTTTACGACGAAAAACAAATTTAAACTATAAAAATAAGCAAAAGTATTTCTCATTAATCTTTATAATGAACAAATTTGGACAAACATAAACGGACAGCTAATAGTAAAAACAACATTCATATTATCTGTATGACTATTACAAAATAAATAAATAGAAAAGGCAGGCATTTTCAACAAAAGTAACTTTGGTTACAACCGAAAATTTTCCACTGTCAACTATACTTCAAATATTTGTTATTGTTTTATCAACTGTTTCAATTTTCAACAATTAAAGTAAATATTAACTTTAAATTGAAGGCAAAACTAAAAAATTTTATGAGTAAAATAATTATTCTTTGTAGTGTAGCAAAAAGTAACATTCAAAACACGAGTGAAAGTGGGTCCATACATATTCTCGACAATTTAAATTGCTCGATAAATCTTGCACTTCAAACATGGTCTCAAATATGTTATGACTCACTTTCTACTCTTGTTATGAAATATACTATTAGTGGGACATGTAATGACACGGATGAACTGGTTGAACATACAAACGGTTCTCACAAAGACTCAAGCTATACCTTGCGAAACCCATTTAATTTACAACATAAACACAAAATACTATCCTAAAGATTAAGTCTCATTTAAGGGTGGGGAGAATGTGGTAATATTGTACTATTTATGTCTTATTTCATTTATGAATTTCTTAGTTGTCTACCAGTTGTTCTTTGTTTACTATATTCCCTTATAAAAATCAGCTGATGTCAACTGATACCAGTGAAGATCTTCACCAATATTTCCACAAGGGTTGACTTCAGAGTTAATTAAAACCTACGGGTCAATTAATAATGAGTATAGTTCTAGGATGGATTGCATGAATCAAAAAACATTCATGCATCCATCACTCCTTTAAATCACTTTATGATTGGTAAAACCACTAATTCTTGAACAAAAACGGTATGGATCATAAACATAAACAAATGACGTTGCTGGAAACTCATTTGTTTGTTTATGATCCATACCAGTTCTGTTCAAGTATTCATGGGTAAAACCGATTTTAAAAGTATAAAAAGAAATATAAACACAAGGTAGTCCTGTGCTAAAAAAAAAACAAGTAATTTAGAAGCAACTCACCAGTAGAATATAAAACAAACTGAATCAATAGCACTTCATATGTAACTCTGTCAAGTGGGTTATATCTTGTCACTTATCTATGGCTTGTAATCCACGTCATTCCTGTTGTCAACATTTACACTGACTATTCCACAACACTTCTATAGTGAGCACATGGAAAACTAATGCAAATAACAAATAACCATGCTTTATACTTTTCTAATACCATATTCGCTTAGTTAGATGTAAAGAACTACTGGATTGTGCTCTCAGTGGCACTGTGGGCGCTGTTTTCGGTTATGCTCCCCCACTCCCGACTTGCAGAAGCCGACGCAGCCCATGCACTCACTATTATAAAACACACCTTTTTAGTTGATGTTCTGTTAAAATATAGGGATATAAAATATTGCTAACATATGACAAACTCTTTTTTACTATTCTAAACTTATAATGTCTATTTTGTTATTTGCAGAAAATAAGACATTTGAACTCTATAAAAATACGCAAACATTCTCTGTATTTGAGTTTAGATGTTTAACAGATACTACTACACTTCCATTTATACATGTCAAAATAAGTAATGGCAAAGTAAAGACAGAACATACAATATTTTTTGTAACAGTAGATTACAAAATTGTACAATATTGTTTTACAATAGATTTTTGTAAATATTAATGTAGATTCAAAACATTTATCGTAGATCTAAATATTTTTGAAGCAACTTTATCCAAACAGTAAATAAAATCTCAAGAAGCAGATTAAATAAACAAGTCTTTATTTGTTGGTGTTATCCTAACATTAACAGTCATAACTATCTCAATTTTAAAACTCTACAATCCCTAAAGATTACATGTATCTTTCCCATAATGATGTTTATTTATTGAATTACATGTCAGCACAGCACATCATATAAATGATAGGATACATTGTTAATGGTTAAATAGGAAGATTTAAAACTACTAAGAGACATTTATTTGTCTTTTTACATAAAAACAACTGAACATTCCAGAAGTATAATAGGAAAATAATTGGATCTTTTGAAGTAGATGGATTTATTTATAAAAACGGTATACAGTAGAACCTCAATTACTCGAACCTTAATATCTCGAATTCCTCAATATCTCGATTTTTTTTAAATCCCCTTGAAATCCACATTAATCATAATGTTAAAAGTACCTTTATAAGTCGAAGTTTCTAAATACACAACCTCAATAAGTCGATTTTTAACAACTTTTGAACGGTATATTCCACCTCTATAAGTCGAATTTTCCCGTCGTCGAGCCTCAGTAACTCGAAGTTTACCTTTATAAGTCGAAGTTCGCACGAATGCGCCTCAATAATTCGAAGTTTTGCCTTACAGTGCAAGTCAGTAGTGTTTTGATTCCTGTCGAGACGTGAAAATCCAACTTCCGGTGGTTGCTTCCTGTGTCTGTTTGGATACGTACTGTAGTCTGCCAGTTGTTGAGATAATTTTGTGCGCGTCGGACGTCATGTCGTCGGTTAAGCGTAAGTGCAAAACGTTGACACACGATGAAAAAAGAAGAGTTATTAAGGCAGTTGACGAAGGATTAAAGAAAAAAAGTGAAATCGCTAAGGAGTTCGGAATTCCGCCTAACACTTTATCAACAATTATGAAAAACCGGGAAAAGTATGAGGCTGAAGGTGGACTAACCAATAAGAAGAGATGTAAAAGCGGTGAGTTTAAAGACGTGGACGAATGTGTTTTAACGTGGTTGAAACAGTGTCGAGATAAGAACATCCCTGTATCAGGACCGATTTTGCAAGAGAAGGCCATTCAATATGCAGAGAGCTTAGGAAAGAAAGACTTCCGCGCCAGCAACGGATGGTTGCACAACTTCAAAAAAAGAAACGAAATTATTTTCAGAAAGGTTTGTGGAGAAAGTGCTTCTGTGAACTCCAATGTGTGTGACGAATGGAAAACAGAACTAAAAAAACTGACTGAGTCATATTTGCCAGAAAACATTTACAATGCCGACGAAACTGGCCTTTTTTTTAAGTGTCTGCCAGACAGAACCCTGTCTTTTTAAGGTGATTCATGTAGTGGTGGGAAAATGAGCAAAGTTAGAATAACTGTGTTGCTTTGTGCTAACTCCGACGGAACAGACAAACTCAAGCCCCTTGTCATAGGAAAGGCAAAAAATCCACGCTGTTTTAAGAATGTGAAAAGTTTGCCGACAGAGTATGAAGCAAATAATAAAGCTTGGATGGTTTCTGGGTTTTTCAGTTCTTGGCTGAAAAATATCGATAAGGCCATGAAGAAGAAGAATAGAAAAATACTTCTCTTTATTGACAACTGCTCAGCACACAAGGGCATACCTCCTCTGAAGAACGTCAAAGTACAATTCCTACCACCAAACACAACCTCCAAGCTACAACCACTTGATCAAGGGATCATTAAAAACTTTAAAGTGAACTACAGAAGAGAGGTTGTCAAACGATTTTTGAGGGATATGGACAACGAGTCAATGACGCAGATTAATCTACTCGATGCACTATGGATGGTGTCAAAAGCCTGGAACTGTGTGACTTCGGTGACAATCAAAAACTGCTTTAATGCATGTGGTTTTGAGGTACCCCAACACACCACGGGAAATGAACTGGATGAAGTACAGGATGAACCTTCTATCGCGGACATAAATGAGACACCGGCTGAATGGACTGTAGCAGCACAGGCTCTGAATGTTGAAGAGTTGGCGTTCGTGGACTTCGTAGACTTTGACGACGACGTTGCTGTATGCGGGGAGCTGACTGACGCAGACATCATTACATCGGTTGCTGGAGGTTCGAGTTCGAATGCAGTTTCTTCAGACGAGGGAGAGGAGGATGAGGGCGAATCAACACAGCCAGACCCAACTCTTAAAGATGCTCGTGCTGCAATTCATGTGATTCGGTGTTTTTTTGAGAAAAAGTCAGTGATGAGTGATAGTGTTGTGAATTGCATCAATAACTTGGACATAGCATTGGATGCCGTAAACATAAAAGGTAAACAAGCAAGAATTGAAGATTTCTTTCATCCCGTTTTGCCAAAGTAGGTTCAGTAGGCCTACTTAACTACATTTTGAAAAGTTAAACTTGTACAGTATTTTGTTTAGAATTCGTATTGTTTTGTGTTTTGTTCAGTACCTGTATTTAAAATAATTTGTCTTTGTTATTCAACAGGTTTTTTACGTATGTACTTTATCAAACTTATTTCCAAACTTATTGCCCAATAATAAATAAAGTACTCTATGTGCATTAAAATTGTTTTATTTTGCTTCCACAGTTACTCTTCAATACGTGGGTAAATACAGTTTGAGTTCGATTTACATTATAAAGGTTTAGGATGTAAAAGTCGAGTTTAGATTCAGTAGGCCTACTTAACTACATTTTGAAAAGTTAAACTTGTATTTTGTTTAGAATTTGTATTGTTTTGTGTTTTGTTCAGTATTTAAAATAATTTTTCTTTGTTATTCAACAGGTTTTTTACGTATGTACTTTATGAAACTTATTTCCAAACTTATTGCCCAATAATAAATAAAGTACTTTATGTGCATTAAAATTGTTTTATTTTGCTTCCACAGTTACTCTTCAGTACGTATAAATACAGTTTGAGTTCGATTTATAAAGGTTTAGGATGTAAAAGTCGAGTTATAAAGGCCGCAACGTTACATCACTGTCAGGCCCAAACACCTCAGTATCTCGAACTTTTTTGTATGGCACCTTCATAACTCGAACCTCACTAACTTGAAAAACTTGATAACTCGAATTTTTATCATATCCCCTTCAGATTCGAGATATTGAGGTCCTACTGTAATGAATTAAAGCGGACCTCTAAATAGTCTAGATTTAATCTTGAGCCATGTTTTTGGGAAATTCTAAACTTTGAAACATATTTTTTCAATGGTACCAGAAAATAACTTATTGGTCAGGTTAGTTCAAGGAAAGGCTCTAGGCCAGGATTTTGAATTGTAGAATAAAGAGGACATCAGTTAGCTTACCTCGAAGAAGTACAGGTATGCCATAGAAAATATAGAAGAGACAATAAACACACTATATTTCGTCCCCTGGGGGACTTAAAAAAAATTGAAAACAACTGCAAATGCAAGCAAATAGAGTCCACTTTGTTGACTCTTGTATTGCTAACTTTTTAATATACACATTTTTATCTAATCCTCATTACGAAAATGTAATGAACATTTGGTTGAATATTTACATTTGGGAAAAGAACATTATGTTGAACTGACAGTAATAAGTTTGAATAAGTTGCAGCAATCCGTTATAAAGACAATCTACTGTTCAACTAAGTTGTATTCAACTAAATTTAAACAAACTGAAGTTGCAATGTAGCTTGACCTGAATATGGATTTGATGCAACTCATCTCCATTTCAACAACAACACAATCATCTTCTGAAGACTAAAAGGCAACGGTCTATTTGGACTGTAAAAGTGTGACTTAGTTCAGTTTCTTACTTCTTTCACCTTTCAATCTGCTTTGACTACTCAACTGTCTATTATTGGTAAACAGTCCTAAAATCCGTTTGATGATAACATAAATGCATGATAAAATCGTGACAAGTACTATAGAAACAAGTCCAATTACATCCAGTAGATAAACTTGATAGAAGGGCATTGCAGCTGCAGCTGGTGTAAGATGCTTAGCCCCAGCATGGTGCATGACATAGTCTACCCAGTATAGGAGTGTGTCTGTGGGACTGACAGGGCGGTCCTGGTAGATCATAGACATCTTCAACATGTTGTCCTTGTACCTGGATATACACAGTAGCATCACTCGAATGACCATTGTTGATGATTAAAGCAATAATTAATACATTTTAAAAACCCTAATTTCAAACTCACAAAAAATCCTTCTCAAGATTAACTTCAAGTAAATAACTTAAAGATTAATTTCACAAACATTTTTGATATTGGATTATAGAATAGGATGTTACTGTATAGAAAAAATGGATGTAGAATTGGGTTATAGAAAAAATTGCTATGTCCTGGCACAGGAGTCAATCTGGGCTCTCCTGGCTCCCACCACCACTCTGCTTGAAGCCGTGCCCTCTGGCCTCGCCCTGTGGAGTTGTCTGGATCAGCGTAGTGGTGGAGAGGGTAAGGGCATGCTCCTGTCCTTCCAAACTTTACCCCCTTAAGTGCAATACATATTTCCTCTACTGATAAAATTTATAGAAAAAACCTTAAGTAAAACCAAACTCTTACTTTTTATCATTAAGAACTTTTGTTAGTGCTGACAAGATTGTTTCTTCTGATAAGGATTTGAAAGGCAGAATGACTCCAATTCCTTTCTCCTCGTAGAACTTGGCATTCATGGCTTGATCGCCGAAGTAAGGAGTGCAGATTACTGGGACTCCAGCTCTAATCACCTCATGTTGACTAAACATCCCTCCGTGAGTCATGAACACTTTCACGTTAGGATGAGCTGCAGACAAATGAACTTTCCAAGTACAATTTGTAAAGTGTAAAAGAGCTCTTTAAAATTACATCAATTCAATTCTTCTCTTGTACGAACCTTAAACATTTATTGTATGTAAGTCATCGCATCCACTAAACATACACATAACATTGATATTAATTGAACTTTATGATCATGAAATGTACTTGTTATGATTGCATTTGCAGATCCACTCCATATAACAAAATATCCATATCCCACGACCTCACTGACCCCACACTATGGACTTAAAAACATACAAGTAGTAGATAATAGCCTAATTGATTGAAGAATAAAAAAAACTATGCATTGACTTGATGGCAGATTGCAATATTTGGTCTTAAAGGAGGTGGCTGCTTAACAAGTCAACATCTCACTTTCATTGATTGTAGCTCAGACGGTAATACTGAGTAATAGTTCTGTAAGTAAGTTACTGTTTTGTCTTTGGCTGCAAAAATCTCTATTTGGTATTACTTAACATTCAAATGAAAATTGTATGACAGGCCATACAAAAAGATTGAAGAAAATTGTATGTTCTTCAGTTGCATTTGGTTTGCTCTTAAGATGAATTGGGGTTAAACATCAAAAACGTCAGCAGCATTTTTGCCAATTCAATAACACAAGGTCATCTCTTAAAGTCCAAAATGTTGTAGCCTTTTCGTGGATAAAACTAGAAACTCCAAGTTGCATTATGTTAAAATCCTATTAATTATAAACTTACCCAGAACATCTTGTTGGGGCACCCACTCCGATGTCATTATATTTTTTGGCAGATTTTGAAGGTTGCGTTTTGTTTTCCACAATACTTTTTGTGGCAAACAACTGAATGCTGCAAGAAAGTTGTTGAAGTATTCTTCATCAAGCAGATGGTCCGGGACTATTGACCCAACGCTGAAGTATACAACTCCTTCAGATGCCTTATCCAGGAACCTTTTCATTTCCTAGAAAATATTATTAGGATCACAATAATTTTTCACTCATGAACCTACAACGTTAAAAGTTAAACCATATAGAACATAAGAACACCTAGGCCCAGGACCAATTTACTTTTTTTCATTTTAATACCTCCATTGGCCAAAAACAGCATCCATTGAAATTCATATACATTTATATAGCCCTTAACACATTGACTCAAGTCAAGGTCGTCAAGAGGTTAAAAGTTTATAAATAACACTTACACGTAGACGAAACATTAAAAATTAATTGGCCCAAATACAAATACATAAAAAAACAAGACATTTGGACACATGCGGCACCAGTAGAAGGTAGATCTTGTCTCGTTTTGATGTATTTGTGTTTTGGCCAATTAATGTTTAATGTTTCGTCTACGTGTAAGTGTTATTTTTGAACTTTTAACCTCTTAACGACCAATGAAATAAATCAATGCAACATTTGACCTGAAAATTTGTTTGTTAACACAAAACAACTGTAGTCAACCAACTACAATCTAGGATCACTTGACGGAAACAGGTAATTTTAACCTATTATTGTAAAAATCAGTGATCCAGTCGAGTCTATACCATAAATATTAGATTATATATTGTAGGTAGTTACTATTACAGATGAGATAAGTATGAAACATGATTTGGGATTAAAGAACTTTTTTAGGAACTTAAAGAAATAGTAAGTTATGGATGGATAAACCTTTTAACCCATAATATATAATGGGTTTTAAGGATTTAAGGAAAACCCGGATGTAAAAGAAAATCAGTTACATTTGGTTGATTTGACAAGAAACCTCTAGTTCACAGTAGAATGATTTAATTAAAATAACCATAATTAATTATATATTCATACAACCTCAGCAATGAATTCTGCATACTTACCTCAGGAAGTGGGTTCTGCTCCTTGGCCAGATGTATTCCACCGATCGGAATGATGTTGGGGGTGTACGGCTGCGCATAGTGAACATGAGGATGCTCGTTTGAAAAAGTCAAGGCCAACCAGGTCTGCATCAATTCTGACAAGGGAGGTAGCAAAGAGTCGTTAAACAACTCCCTCATATACTGATCTTGCGAGGGAAACATATAGAAGTAATATTTGAAAAGCGTACTCAAAATTGAGTAAGCATTGAGTGTCCTCTCATAGAAAGTCATGTGATTTGAGAATGGAAAAGCGAAATCAGGAATGTACGCAAGGTTGAGAGAATTCCCGCTAGCTCTGTTTACAAGACTGAAAGCTCCGAATGGTTGAAGATTGATTATGGGAGCTTTGAACTTGTGACCAAGGGCAAAAAGTGATTCTTGAGCATAAAACGCTTCCAAAAATATCAAATCAAACTTTTCATCTGATTTAAGAAGCTGCTGAAAATCCTTGTTATTTTTCATATTTTTTGTAAACAAATTCCATTTGATGGCAAAAGTTGAGGTTGTTCCAACTGGACTCATGTTTAACAACATCTCCAGCATTTCTTTGGTCACTGCAACGTAAAAGGGTAGATTAAGACAACAAAACAGACAGCATTAAATGATAATAACAGTAGCTATTTAAATTGATAAGAATATATCAACAATTTTTGAATATTGAAATTAGATTTGTTGAATTTGGAACCTGTTGAAATCTGTTTTTCATTACCTTTGAGTGCACTGATGTCTACCAATTGTTTCTCTGTTTTTTACATAGATTTATGATACATTTTATGAACTTCTCTTCACAAAGGAATTTGTCTGATGATATATTATGAAAATATAGTTACACAAAAGAAAAGACATAACAAAATACCCCCACCGCAGCAAACCTGCAGACTTAGCGAATTTTCATTTGCTTGATTGGATTTACACTAAAATATATCACATTTATTCCCTATTAGCATTAGTTTAACGAGTACTTACGTTAGCTGCAACAAGGAAAATGTGTTATAAAAAGGTGTTTTTTTAATGTTAATAGTTTAGTATGAAATAAGTGCATTTTCCAAATTTTATCAAAATATGCACATAAACAAGCAAACTACAACAGTTTACAATTTTCACCATAAAAATAACATAGTGATTTTAAATTTAAAATTTTTTTTATTTCCTTCCTATTCATTAGGCGCATAATAATGCTTCAATATACTAAATAATTTTTTTTTTAAGCTCTACAAAATGGTTTGCAAAGAAGTTTGATAAATTTTATGTTTCTAGGGTCAAAATGAGTAAAACCAATTTTCACCCCATATAAACCCCTGTTCCCATAGTCCGATCATGCTGGTTGAACTCGTTCAAATAAACGTGAGTTTACACGTTTGCACCAAATTTTATCAAAATCTGATCATTTCTACTCGAGTTATCGTGCTAACGGACACATATTATATATAAATATATATACATACCAAATATTGTAACTGATATTTTTGTTCTTTGAAATACTCACTTGATTTATCAACTGGTTGGATGTTGTCCATGTGAATAACAGTTAAGTTTGCCACCTCCTGGTCGGCTGGTAGACCGCTGTAGCTGACGACCTGATGTCCTGCCTGCGCCAGTGTCCTCAGCACGGCGTTAAACAGGATGTGATGACTCTTGGCAGGGATTGGCAGGACAGCAAGGATCCTGGCTGACATGGCAGGACCTCCGTAAGACATCAGGAGCAGCAGTAAGATGATGTTCATTGTAGATCTACAGACATATGTGACTATCAAGGACTAAGTCATGGTAACATGTGCGACCTGGAAGATTACAATGTTAGTGTTATTTGAATACTCCATTAAAATAAAATAAATTTGAGAAATGTTATAAGTGGTTTCAGCACAGTAGTACAGGGAAGATAAAAGGGGTCCCCACTATGTAAATAAGGGTTTTTACGTCAAAGTTTACAAACAAATTATGACGTGAGATAAACTACCTAACTACAAAACAATAATTGTTAGTTTTGAGACTTTTTTGATGCACAATTAAAAATTCCTTTTACCTTAGGGCATACTTTTATGAAATAATATTAAAAACTTTATCAGTTAGGTATTGCTTGGAAAAAATAATATTGAATGGGTTAATTGAGTGTGTCTGTTTTAGTTTGCTGAAGATTATATACCATAAATGTTAAAAAAATGTAGTTGGAAAGTAACTTGTAAAAATGTGTTATAACCAGGTTTTTTGTTGTTGTTTTATGTCCCACTTTCACATCCTAGGACACTAGTTCTGTCCCGGAACTGTTTTACATATTACCTCAGGCTAGTCTTAGTGGGTTGTGGTATTATCAAATGGATAAAATCCATTTGGTGATCGGCAGAATTTGAACTCGGGACCTAAAACCTGGGCTCTTTATAAATTATCCAAGTAGAAATTGTTTTTTTGAATAATTTTGGTTAGCAATCATGCAAGTTATTTCTGTCATCATTATAAAACCCCATGCCTCCTCGTTTTTTACATAAGCTATTTACATCTGTTTTGACCCACTTTTGAAAGTGATTTCTATAATTTGTGGTTTATGATTATAGAGAATTGTCAAAAATAATAACCCTGTATGGGTTTAGTAAGTTTGTTTGGTGTGTGAACTATAAACTAATCAGTAAACGTCCTTGGACCTATTTTGTCAAAACCTTTCAGCAAAATTCCTACAGGGAAGTTGGTCTCTGGATACGCCACTATAAAATAGGATGAACTTAACTGTACCAGTATCTCAGAGAGCACTGGGAACTATTTTCTTATTAAATAAAAAAATATGAATTCAGTTATAAATGGCAGCCATTTTCAATTTTTTTTCTTCTACCTTTAAAACCTTATAAAACATCTTGTTTTTTATGATTGTTTTAGATTATTTAAATGAAATTGAAATTTTTTTTATTTACTCTTTTTTTCTAAAGCTAAATCTAGAAAAATTGAGTTGCTGTGTACATTCTACACCCTGTAGATCTCAAACCAGCAAATTTGGAGATGAAACGCAAGGAATGAATTATTCCTTAAATCTAAATTCTAAGAAGATCATAAAATACACAGAGAGTTGAGTAAGAAATTTCGAAGCTAGCCGCCACTTGAAAAAGCGAAATTCATATTTTTAATGAATTTTGTGATCTTTTTAGATTTTTCCCTGTCTGGAAATTCAGTTTTAGGATGGATTGCATGACTCAAAAACACAACCGCTCCTTTAAATCACTTGTGATGGGTAAAAACCAGATTTAAAAGTATAAAAAGAAATATAAATACAAGTAGTCCTATATTATTGCTAAAAATAAAAAGCAATTTAGAAGCAACTCACCAGTAAAATATCCAAACTAGACCGACACAGGAACTACATTAATAGCACTTCATATAACACTGTCAAGTGGGCCTTTTGCTTTAACGTGGTAGTAAAGGGGTTAAATTTTAAAAAAGTTTTTAAAGGTGTAACATTTCCATTAGGTACGTCTCAAAATATTGTTAGGTCCAACTTCAAAACTACAATCAAACTACTTCATACAATCTATATTTCAAGTGCAAAACATTTGTAAGCTATCTCTAAAGATAAGACAAGTAGCCTAATACGTATATTTTATTACCGCACATAATAATATTTTTCATTCTCAAAGATGTCAAGGCATTTCAAAAAGCTTGATTAAATTCTCAAGGTATGTCAAACAGTATAAGCAACCTGACATAGACTTCCTCCCATTAGCATTATGGGTAAGCGTGGGAGTATAACCATTGACTATATAATGGTATAACTATGATATTTTATAGGGAAAATCACAAAAGTCGGAATAACTTTTGACCTGTAATTTTTACAGCAATGGAGGGTTGAGCGATTTTGTTTGGAATTATAAGGACCATAAAATATTAATTATAACCAAAACTGTGTTTTTTATATCTGATCTTCGGTTGCTTATGGGTTTTATGGAAAATAACATAAAGTTACTTAAAGTTTTGAACCTTTAGATGTTTTATTCAGCTAATAACCGTCTAAAATCAACATAGTCTTAAAAAAATAAAACGGTAATCCATTATAAGTTTTGTCTGCAATTAAACATTTACATCTAATAAAAAGCCTAAATTGTGCATGGGTCCCTAATTTTAAGTTAAAAGCCTCCACAAAAATGCACAACTTCAAATGAAAATTTGCATTAAAATGAAACAGAAGGCAGCTGCAAATGCAAGCAAATAGAGTCCTGTTTGTAAAATTGTGTTGCTAACCTTTTTTAAAAGACACATTTTTAACAAATCTTTGTGACAAAAATGTAATAAAAATTCAGTTGAGATATTTGGCATGAATTATTCCAAACTTGGATTCTGAAGTAGAACTAGACATCCCATCTATATGGACTAGCTGTCGAAAGGTTTTTACTAAAAAGAACTTAGTTATGTGAGACAGTCAGAGAATGCGCTAGTGTCAAAAATTCTATATCCTACCTTGTTTTTTGTCCCTGACTTAGTTTAAGGATCATAACAGTTGCTCCAAATAAGTCGTTCCATCAATTAAGTTTGAATTGGAAAAAACATTTAACATTCTGTATCCATACAGAAATTAATATCGGTAAGTTAGATCAGTACAATCTGTCGGTGTCTCACATCAACTACGACTAATCAATCTACCTACTGTTGTTTTTTGTCCCTGACTTAGTTTAAGGATCATAACAGTTGCTATAGCTCCAAATAAGTCGTTCCATCAATTAAGTTTGAATTGGAAAAAACATTTAACATTCTGTATTCATACAGAAATTTATATCGGTAAGTTAGATCAGTACAATCTGTCGGTGGCTCACATCAACTACGACTAATCAATCTACTGTTCAACTAAGCTGTATTCAACTGAATTTAAACAAACTGATGTTGCAATGCAATGTAGCTTGATATGGATTTGATGCAACTCATTTCCAGTTTAACAACAACACAATCATCTTCTGAAGACCAAAAAGCAACGGTCGCTACTTGGACTGTAAAAGTCTAACTTTTAGTTCAGTTTCTTACTTCTTTCACCTTTCAATCTGCTTTGACTACTTAACTGTCCATTATTGGTAAACAGTCCTAAAATCCGTTTGATGATAACATAAATGCATGTTAAGGTTGTGACAAGTACTATAGAAACAAGTCCAATTACATCCAGTAGATAAACTTGATAGAAGGGCATTGCAGCTGCAGCTGGTGTAAGATGCTTAGCACCAGCATGGCGCATGACATAGTCTACCCAGTATAGGACTGTGTCTGTGGGACTGACAGGGCGGTCCTGGTAGATCATAGACATCTTCAACATGTTGTCCTTGTACCTGGATACACACAGTAGCATCACTTAAATTACCAGCAAATAAAATATTATGAAAATACCCCTCATTTTAAACTTACAGCAAAATCCTTCTACTGTATTGAATTTCAAGATTAATTTCACAAACATTGCTGGTATTACTAAATAGAAACAAAACATTGCTGGTATAGGATAATAGAAACAATTGGCATGTCCTGTCACAGGAGCCAATGTGGGGTCTTAGAAGGCTGACTTTAGGGTTGGGTATGAGCAGTACCTCCATTCCTCATCGTGTCCCCCCCCCACCACTCTCTTGTCCCCCCCCCCTGGCCAACCCCAAACCCCTGGCCATGCCCATTGGAGTTGTGAGGATTGAGGGGATGGTGGAGTAGGGGTAGGCTCTTACCCATATCCAAAATTAGCCCCATATGAGCCTATAGTGGATCCTGTGTTAAATACATATTTCCCCTACTGGTACCATTTACAGAAAAAAAATTATTTTGAGAAAAACACTTACTTGGGATCATCAAGAACTTTTTTTAGTGCTGACAAGATTGTTTCTTCTGATAAGGATTTGAAAGGTAGAACGACCCCAATTCCTTTCTCCTCGTAGAACTTGGCATTCATGTGTTGATCGGCGAAGTAAGGAGTGCAGATTACCGGAACTCCAGCTCTGATCACTTCATGTTGACTTAATATCCCTCCATGAGTCATGAACACTTTCATGTTAGGATGAGCTGCAGACAAATGATCTTTCAACAAAAATAGTTATTTGTGCAACTAGTGAGAAAAGTGAGCAATTGACTCACTCGAGAGAAATCCTTACTCACGAGCCGTAGGCGAGTGAGGAATGGTTTCTCGAGTGAGGCAATTGTACTTTGAACTCGAGTTGCACATTATAATTTTCCTACAGTTACCATAAAACAAATAAATTGGTGAAGAAACATAACCTATTTTCACACAGAAGTGAACTTTTAATATAAAATTTAACGTGAAGTGACAAATACAACAGTACAACAGCTGACCAGCTGATTTACAGCCAGTGCTGCCAACGTATTTCGCGCGCATACGACGTTGCCTGCATGTTACGCGCTCACTATTTCGTGCCTTCACGTTGCAAATCTGGAGTGAGACAAAGTCACTCCATGAGCGAATTGGCCACTTTGCTTTCTCAAATCAGCGAGAGAACATGTACATTGTTAGGTTACTGTAGGAAAAAGTTGTTCAACGCCAAAAGTTCACCATCACAAATGAACTTTTCATGCATAATCAAAGAGGTAAAAAGAGCTCCTAATCAATCCAAACCTTAGACATTTATAGTCTGTAAACTCACTGCATCAATAAAACAGATCATGTATATTGATTGGTAATTGACATTTTATTTCAATCCAATTTTATAATTAAGCGTGTTCTTGTCATAATTATTACACTTGCAGATCCACTCAATAAAACAAAACTAGTGTGCCTGCTGCTCGAATTTCAAAGTATTATACAGGCGTTATATTTCAAAACAAAATAACGGTCACAATTTCCAATCATTTAAAAGAGTTAACTCGAAGATAATTTTATCAATCACTCCCACTCCAGTTATTGAAACTGGAAACGATTTCACTTTGAGAATGAACGCTCACTCCACTTGAGTTATCAAAACTGAAAACGACTCACTCTGAAAACGAATGCTCTTGTGAGTATCATGTGTGTTTACTATGAACAGCTGTAATTAATCCAAATTATTCATCTGCTTAAGAATGGTTTAAGTAAACAAAATATTTTCTTCAAAAGAAATACATTGGAATTTTGATGACCTGTGGGGCAAAGCCCAAAGACTTTTATCACAGGAATTGGTGAAAGGGGGTGTCTACACAAAAAATACTTAATTTTGACACATCGTTTGTAAAAATCCGTCCATTATTATTGGAGGAGTAGTGTTTCGTAAAAATCACCTTCACGTATTATATATAAGGTTCAAGGATATCCTTAACAGACCTCACTGACTCCACACTAGTGACTATAAGAAAATATAATACGAGTAGTAGATTATTGATTGAAGAATAGATAACCTATGTCTAAACTATAGAAGGTAGATTGCTTTATTTGGTCTTATGGAGGTGGCTGCTAACAACTGGTCAACATCTCACTTTCGTTGTAGCTCAGTTATAAATACTGATAACACTTGTCTTTGGCTGCAACAATCTGTGTTTGATAGGGATTAACATTCAAATGAGGATTGGATGATTCTTCAGTTGCATTTAGCGTGCTCTTAAGATGGATTGGGGTTACACATAAAAAGGTCAGCAGCATTTTTTTCAATAAGAAGAGGTCACCTCTTAAAGTCCAAGATTTGATATCCTTTTCTTGGATAAAAATAGAAACTCCAAGTTGCATTATGTTAAAATCCTATTAATTATAAACTTACCCAGAACATCTTGTTGGGGCACCCACTCCGATGTCATTATATTTTTTGGCAGATTTTGAAGGTTGCGTTTTGTTTTCCACAATACTTTTTGTGGTAGACGACTAAACGCTGTAAGAAAGTTGTTGAAGTATTCTTCATCAAGCAGGTGGTCCGGGACTTTTGACCCAACGCTGAAGTATACAACTCCTTCAGATGCTTTATCCAGGAACCTTTTCATTTCCTAGAAAATATTATTAGGAATCATCAACACAAAATTGTTCACTCTTGTATCTACAAAGTTAGGTGGTAAACCTTCCATTTCTTAGTTCAAAAAACCATTGTTAATTATTGTATGTAAGGGAAGGGTTTTATATTTCTGAGCAATACAGAGTAAGTTTCCTAGATCAAAGTTACTCCTAACCCTAATTTCCCATATAAGAAATTTAAAGCTCTTGCCCTAGGTCTCATGGTATGAGTCTGTATGTTGGATAAACTATTGTTAGGCTATATGTTATCAATTTAGGCCTATGTAATAGTTATCTCTGTGTAATGTAAAAATGTTTTTTTTCACTGTTGTAATGTTGGCAACTCTGCTAGTAGAAATAGAGACTATCTTCTCAAGTAAAATGGTGTTTTACTATAACCTAATCACTGCCTTAAAACTAAACTTAAAACCCTTTAAAAACTAATAGGTTATGGGGCCAGATATATAGTAAAACCATAAAAACATTAAAACCATTGTGAAAAAGAGGAATAAAGTTATCATGAGTTCCGGGAGTGAAAGTGAACTGAACAATGTCGGCAAACTCAAGGACGTGGAATCGTACACCATGTGGGACTTTGAGGTTAAAATTCTTTTTAAGTCCAAAAATCTCTGGGATATTGTTGATGGAACAGAAACTTTGGATAATCAAGAAGATGATAAGAAAAAGAAGGCTTGGAAGTCATTAGATGCAAAAGCACAACACATCATAATAATGACTATAGACCAATCAGTTAAAATGCATGTAGTCACTTGTGACACTTCCAAACAAATGTACGACACTTTAAAACGCCTTTTTCAAAGAGATACGACACAGCAAAAGTGTTCTTTATTGCAAGAATTCTACAACTTCAAATTCGATCTTCAAAAGGACATGATGTCAAACATAGCCTACATACAGAACATTGCTTTTAAGCTTAACAGACTTGACCAAAAAGTGGACGACACGATGCTACTCACAAAGATCCTGAGTATCCTTCCAGACCAATATAAACATTTCTCCAGTGCGTGGGATTCTACCAGTGCAACCGAGAAAACCCTCGAGAACCTGAAGGCTAGACTGTTGCAAGAAGAGGCGAAGACCGTGAGTGACTGTGAGCAAGTAGCTTTTAAAACCAAATCTCAAGGTAGGCCTAGAGTTGTAACATGTTATTCTTGTAAGGAATCAGGACACATTCGTCAAAACTGTCCTAACGTAGGCCTAAAATCAAAATTTTGTTCATACTGTAAGAAACCTAATCATGTAGAAAGTGAATGTTTTTTGAAAAATAAGCAGCCTAAAGCATGCAATATATGTAAGAAAACTAACCATTCTGAAAAGAATTGCTTTTTCCGTAACAAATCTAAATTTAAACCTAAAGATGACTGTAAAACATCTTTTCTGAGTCATGTAAATCTGCCAACAAACAAGTCTACACAACTAGGCGATTGTGTTAACCTATGCGATAGCGTTAATACCAAATCTTTCATTATTGATAGTGGTTGTACCCCTAATCACATGACAAATGATATTTCTATCTTAGAAAATGTAAAATCATGTACTAAAAGTATTTCTGTTGCAAAGAAAAATCAAAGCATGCAGCAAATTGCTGTAGGAAATGTTGACTCTGACCAATGTACACTAAAAAATGTTTCTTATGTACCAGAGTTAAGTAATAACCTAATGTCTGTCAATGCAATTACCGAAAACGGTGGCGAAGTATTATTCACAAAAAACAAGGTACAAGTTCTCAAAAATAAGTCTATCATTTTAGAAGGGTGTAAAAATAAAAGTGGTTTGTATGTAGTTCAGTTAACGGAAAGTGTAAATGAAGTCGCTACTGTAGGCCTAAGCAAATTTGATCAAAATGAATGTAGGCCTAAACCTTTTGATACAGAAAGTGTAAAACCTATCCAAAAACAAACCAATGTACCGGTAATCATAAAGTCAAACACTAGCCCTACTACACGTAATGAAGTAGCTTTAGAATGGCATAGAAAGTTAGGTCATATCAGTTTTCCGTATATGAAAAAGTTGACAAAAATTACTATTGGCATTCCAACTGATGTTTATATGTGTGAAGATGAATTTTGTGATATTTGTATTAAATCTAAGCAAGTAAGGAATCCTTTCAATACATCTAGAGTAAAAGCTTCTAGACCTTTAAAACTGATACATTCTGATCTTTGCGGTCCGATTGAACCCTTGACTCACGATGGTAAAAAGTATTTTTTAACTGTTATTGATGATTTCTCTCATTTTTGTAAGGTGTATCTATTAAAAAGTAAAAGTGAAGTGTTTAGCTACCTAAAAGAATATGTAAATGAAGCAGAAGCTCATTTCAATCTTAAAATTTCTAAAATAAGGTGCGACAATGGTGGTGAGTATGTTGCCAGTGGTCTGAAGGAGTATTGCAAATCTAAAGGAATTGTCATAGACTACACAGTACCTTATTCACCCCAGCTCAACGGAACAGCCGAAAGAATGAATCGCACATTAATGGAAAAGGCTCGAGCGATGATCTTTGACTCTAATCTACATAAAGAAATGTGGGGTGAGGCTATTTTAACATCTGCATACCTACTTAATAGAAGCCCTACTGTTAACCTAGATACAACACCTGCTGAAAAATGGTACGACAGAAAACCTGACCTTTCAAGACTTCAAATATTTGGCACAGTAGCCTATGCAAAAGTCTTAGGCTATTTAAAGAAATTGGAAGCAAGAAGTAAAGAAGCTATTTTTGTCGGATATGCAATGAACGGCTATCGATTGTGGGATCCTGAAAAAAGAAAAATATTTATCTCTAGAGATGTGATTTTCAAAGATGCAAACTCTGAACAGATTAAAATAAGACAGATGCAAAATAATTTTTCTGATGAAGATTGTACACAAACTGCAGAAGATGAAGAAAGAGAAGAACACATGCATGAAACTCAAGGAGAAGATCAAGAAAACCAACTAGGTGCAAACCTAGAAGAAGAAAATATTGGAAGGCCTGATATAAATGAAGAAATTGAAAATGAACGACACTACAATCTGCGACCAAGAATAAATATGAAACGACCTTCAAGATATGAAGAAGAATATGAAAACGGCCAAGTTCTGCTGACGTACAATGAATGTATGACTAGTAGCGATAAAGAAAAATGGGAATTGGCCATTAAGAAAGAAAAACAATCCTTAGAGAAGAATGAGACTTGGGAAATAATAGATGAAAAACAACTGAATGAAAATGATGAAATACTAACAAGTAGATGGGTGTTTAAAATTAAAGAGGATGGGACATATAAAGCCCGTTTAGTAGTTCGAGGCTGTGAACAGAAGAAAGGAAATTTGGACTTTAGAGATACTTTCAGTCCAGTTGTGGAAAGTGCTTCTTTAAGAATTCTTTTCTCACTAGCTGCTCAAGAAAACTTACATATCCAAACCTTCGATGTAAAGACTGCTTTCCTGTATGGGGAAATTGAGAATGATATTTATATGAAGATACCAGAAGGATTTAAGGAACAAGGGAAAATTTGCAAACTCAAGAAAGCCCTCTACGGTTTAAAACAAGCTCCAAGTCAGTGGAATAAGAAGTTAACCTCATTTCTGAAAGATGAAGGACTAATACAGCTCAAAACCGATCAATGCCTGTTTAAGGATATTAAAAATGAACTTTATTTGGCTATTCATGTTGACGACGGCATCTTTATGGCGAAAAATCAAAATAAACTTAAAGACCTGCTAGAAAAACTCAGAACTAATTTTGAGATGACAATTAACAAGAATCCAAATATGTATATTGGAATGGAAATAATCAGGAAAAAGGATGGCATCTATCTCAGTCAAACAAACTATGCAAATCAAGTACTCAACAACTTTAATATGACAGAGTGTAAGTCAGTATCTACTCCCTTAGAAGAACAGACTAAGATTGTTGATGAAGATGGAAAAACTAACTTTCCTTATAGAGAAGCTATAGGAAGCCTTCTCTACATGACTAATAAAACTAGACCAGACATGACATTTGCAGTTAATTTTGAAAGCCGCTCTACCGAAAATCCGAGAAAAAAGGATGTCCAAAACATCAAGAGAACTTTGAGATACCTCAAAGGAACAAAAAACAAAGGAATATTTTTTCCTTCAACAAGTTCTAAAGACCTAAGTATTCAAGCGTACTGTGACTCAGACTACGCAGGAGATGTAAAGGATAGAAAAAGTACAAGCGGATATGTCCTGCTGTTAGGAAGTGCACCAATTGTATGGAGTTCAAAAAAAACAACCAATAACTGCTCTATCAACAGCTGAAGCTGAGTACATATCTGCAGCTGAATGTTGCAAGGAAATAAAATACATCAAGACTCTAATCACAGAACTGACCGAAAAAACTGTGAAAACCACCCTGAATGTTGATAATCAAAGTGCCATAAAACTCATCAAATCAGGTCAAATGAACAGAAAGAGTAAGCATATTGATGTGAGATTTCACTTTGTGAGCGAACAATTTCATGCCAAACTATTTGACTTAAAGTACTGCTGCTCAGAGGACCAATTGGCTGACATATTCACAAAACCTTTGTCCAGCACAAAATTTTCAAAGTTTACAAGTCAGCTATTAAGTAATGTGTAAAGACATAATTTAGCCTACACAAATCATGCAGGCTACTTAGCATACTATTTTTAAATGGCAAATCTTTTTTTAGAGAAAAATAAATAAACAGCCTACTGTCAATTTTATACTTATAATTTGTTAACATGATAGGTACTTAACAATTTCTTATGTAAAATAATATCATGTTCTAATAAAATAACACTATTTTTCTGTATTTGTAAAAAAAAAAACATTTGTACATTAAGGGAGTGTGTTGGATAAACTATTGTTAGGCTATATGTTATCAATTTAGGCCTATGTAATAGTTATCTCTGTGTAATGTAAAAATGTTTTTTTTCACTGTTGTAATGTTGGCAACTCTGCTAGTAGAAATAGAGACTATCTTCTCAAGTAAAATGG